CGCCCGACGGCGACGGGGGGAAGGGGGGGCGGTTTGCCGGGTCACCACCCTCAACCGCGGTTCTCTGAGCGGACGGGGTTTGCTGGGCTCCCCGGGGAAAGGCGCCCCCGGTGGGGCGGGGGTTGCCTGGTCGCGGCCTGCGCCCCGGGAGCGGTTCGCCGCCGCTGGCCTTGGCGTTAAGCGCATTTTTAGCGACTTTCTGCCTGCACCGGGCGGGTGGGACGCGGGGCCTTCCCGGTGCCCGCCTGCTGCAGCCCTGCCCGAAGGCTGCCCTGTTCCCCGGTGCCTCGGGGCTGGAGCCCACCGGGGCAGCGAGGAGGCCTGTCCAGCATTGACAGCGGTGGGCTGGTGGACAACCGGCTGAACCTGAGCCCGCAGTGTGCCCAGGTGGCCAGGAAGGCCAGCAGTATCCTGGCCTGTACCAGGAACAGCATGGCCCTCAGGAGTAGGGAAGTGACTGTCCCCCTGTGCTCAGCACTGGTGAGGCCCCCACTGTGTCCAGTTTTGGGTCCTTCACAACAAGAAAGACATTGAGGTGCTGGAGCGGGTCCAGAGAAGGTCAACGAAGCTGGTGATGGGTCTGGAGAGTAAGTCTTATGAGGAGAGGCTGAGGGAGCTGGGGTTGTTCAGCCTGGAAGAAGAGGAGGCTGAGGGGAGACCTTATTGCACTCTATAACTATCAGAAAGGAGGTTGCAGATAGGTGGGGGTCGGTCTCTTCTCCCAAGTCACAGGTGACGGGATTAGAGGAAATGGCCTCAAGTTGCACCAGGGGAGGTTCAGGCTGGATATTAGGAAAAAATTCTACACCAGAAGGGTTATTCAGCACTGGAACAGGCTGCCCAGGGAAGTGGTGGAATTGCCATCCCTAGAGGCATTTATAAGATGGGTCAAAGTGGTGCGCAGGGACAGGATTTAGTGGTGTTTTTTGTCAGTGTTAGGTTGATGGTTGAAGTCAATGATCTGAAAGGTCCCTTCCAACCTAGACAGTTCTATGATCCGATCTGTGACTGCTGTGAACAGCACTCCTGTGTGACCCCAGCAGCATTTTTGTACCAGCAGAGCTGTGCCTCCTGTTGGCAGAGGTGTGTGCCCAAAGTGCTGGTCAAAAACTAGTATTTGGAAGTTCATTTTTACTTTTCATTTAAAAAAAGAGTTTTTTAATAAAAATGAGTTGTGCGTTTTGGTTTTTTTTTCATTTCAAAGCTCGATCTTTTTGAACAAGCTCTGATGCTGTGCTAGCCTAGTGTATAAAGCAGGTTGCTTTCTTTCTAAGGCAGGGTGGGGTTTGTCTGAGCAGAAGACAAACCTGATGGTAGATGAAATACAGTAACACA